GGAGATTGAAGGTTTTGAGGAGTGTGGGACCACCTCTTAATTGCTGTTGTTCCTAGGTCCACCCTGACCATGGTTTGTAGTACATGTTAGGGTCCCAGGCAAATAGTGACCTACCAAACAAAAACACTATGAATGTATAAGAATACATTTTAATATTAAAAATACCAGCTATACATTTTTATATAAAAAAGACTAACAATACATGACAAGCAATTCATTTTATTTGTAGATGAAGGCATCCAAAATATATTTAGTTAAAGCCATTAAATTGTGCTCAAATTATTTAGATTTCAGCATTAAATAAACTCATAGTTGTTGACTAGCAGTATGGCCCGGCATTGCTCGTGCTTGATTCAAAAATCGTACGACTCATACAGCAATCGCTATCACTTATAATATTTTTGCCCTTCCTTTCCTTTAAAGGAGTGCCTTTTGCCGTGCTGATGTCGCTATATGCCTTACTTCTTGCCTATCGCACACTGCGAATTTTTTCTAAGCTCTATACTAAACATTAAATCTGTTACGAAAAAAGAACTAAACAAAATGAATACAAAACGATCAGCTTTAAAAAAAGGACTCGTAACTGAAATAACCGAATGAAAAAAGAATGTTAACAACAAATACTTTTTCACACCCAACCCAGTTCTGCAGAATCAGAATCAACGTTGAGTTTAAGCAAGCGAATGAGTCAATTGGAGTAAAGTGCCATGCAGATTTAAATTTTTCCCACTTGTGACGAATGCAGCTATCAATTTTTTTTGCATGCTAGTTAACATTTGTGTCAGTCAGCTGTTGGCTCTCACGCTGGCCAATAGAATCTTTCTGCCTATTTGTGGCCGCCAGCTATAGGCTGTCACTCTGGCCAGTAGAAAATGGCTGCAAACTACATGAAAACTGCCATAGAAGCATGAAAAAATCGATTATTTCCGCTATCGATGGGAGTTGGGAAATGCAAAGTGGGTCTTGGCCTTCCTGCTAACTTGGAGCATGTGCATGTAAATTTTGGTGCAAATCCATTGAAAATTGCGGCTGTGCATTCATTACACATGCACACATCCTGCCTTTTATAGATAGAGATAAGCTGATAAACAAGATTAAACAAGCAGCATGAACTTTGTTGACATTAATCCATATAATATCCTACAATTTCTTAAATCAAACTGTATTCCAAAATAATTAAAAAATAAAAACATAAAACGCACATCTCACCACCCCTAGTAATTGTCTGCACAAACTTGAAGGAGCAGAAAAACTGAGTATCATCTGTCATGTGTCCAATTGTGAAAGTATAACAACATATCATATTTCTATTACTTCAAAGCTCCCAAGAACATTAAATTTCAGCATTAAATCACCAATAAAGAGTTGATATACCATTAAACAAATGAACTATCAATCTCAGTTTTAAATATAGATATGATTATTACTACTAACATTGTGCATTTTGAATTTGGATATTAATGATGTTATTTTGATATGATACATGGGTAATGCCGGGTATTCCTGCTAATAATAATAATAATAAGTGCTATATCACAGACATGGCCATGTTATCTAATAAAAGCATCTTGACAAAAGAATTCCATAAATTTGCAAAATATAAGAACTTATGAATAGTAATCACAAGAATGTGGCATGACTAACATTTGAGTAATAATAGGAATACTAGGTTTGGTTTGTTTTATGGCATATCAACACCTCAATGGGTTATGTAATGCCAACAAAATTTTTATTGCTGGTAATATTTTTTTTTCAAAAATGTATTGCTGGTAATAATTTTTTTTCAAAAATTTATTGCTGGTAATATTCTTTTTACTAAGTATTTCTGGTATTAAAACCTATTTTTACACTTTCATAGTGTTTTGAACCCAGTTTAGTGGGGTTAATTATTTCCATGTAGCTGGGACCCTAACGTGCTACCACTGTGGGTCAGGGTGGACCTGGGAACACCAGCAATTAAGAGGTGGTTCCACGCTCCTCAAAACCTCCTGATCAGAGGCTTTGCTGTTGGACGTCATTTATCATCTTACTCAGGACATGGATTTAGTTTATTGTCATACCCAGGACGGAGGAGAGCTAGGAGTGATTAAGAAGAATACTGATACATATATTAAGAAAATCCCATGAAACTGTCTTATTTGTAATTCCAATAGGTCCGACAAAATAAAACTGGCATCTCCTCCAGTAAATGACCTCCAGTCAATTATTAACTGGGGCAAAGAATGGCTTGTAAATTTTAACACTTCCAAAATGAAACGATCTTTTAATCAACAGAGAGAACCTTTTTTATATTTCATCAGCATGGGTGATGATAACCTCCAGGAGAGCAACTCATTGTGCCTGCTAAGTGTCATGGTTTCCACTGACATGAAATGGAGTGATTATATTGACTCAATTACTAGTTCTGCTGCTAGGAAACTTGGTTCAATGTGTTGTACCAAACATTTTTTTTTTCTAATCAGAATTCATGTTGCACATTTATAAATTGGCCATCTGTCTGTGCATTGAATATTGCTGCCATATCTAGTCTGGTGATCTTGCTATATATCTCGAGATTCTTCACAAAATCCAAAGAAGGGTCTGTAATAATATTAGTCTTGAACTAGCATTTCAACTTCAATCATGTGGTTTCCCTCTGCTTTTTCTATAAGTATTTTCATGGCAGTTGATCTAATAATCTCTGCTCCTTGGTAGCTAGATGGTATGAACTTAAGCATACTACTAGATTGGCAACTAGGTCACATCATTTTATTGTTATAATTGCCAGATGTATCTATAAGTTCTATTCTAATAGTTTTTTTTTGTCTCACTTCTCATCTGTGGAATTCTCTTTTGGTTTCTTGTTTTCCTGCCATTTACAATCTTCAAAAATTTAAATGCATCATCAGCTGCCATCTTTTGTCTTCCTGAACCCTCTTCTTTTATTATCCTTTCTCCTCAGTAAAGTTTTCTCATTCTCTTTCACTGCCAGCACATTCTTTCATCTTAGTGGCATTATTGCTTTGCTTGGGGTGAAATTAAAAAAGGAAACATCTGCATCTGAGATAAAAGAAGAAAAGCTTCTGCTCATGAGCACTGTTCATTTGTTCAATTAGAACTTTGTCAATGTAAAACAAAAAAACCTTTACCTCAGGTCTAAAGTAAAAGACTTTGTAAAGGATTGTATCAAAGAGCAAATCAGGAAAACTAGAAATAGCAAAACAATAGTGCCATCATCTTGAAATAAGCTTTAGATTAAAGGTTTGTATGAAATGAAAATACTTTCGATATCCTTAGTAAATCAAGAAATAGTGGTAAGCAATGTAAATAAAATTCATGAATTTTTAATATAAATATAAGATTCTATTTATGGATTTCAATGAAGGAGGACCTGAGAACACACATTGAAACCTTGTAATCAAAACAGAGATAAAAAGGTTTGAATAATTCATTGACTAATGAAGATAAATGTGGAATATATATAATTATGCTGGAAGCAATTTATTACTGTGACTTTGAACCAATTAGAGTGAAGAGGTCATGTCTATAAACACGGAATATAATCTTGAAGTTCTTCACTTTGAAACTTGGAAAAAACCAGTTCAGTTGAAGATGAGTATAAAATTTATATCTACTCTGTATATTATTAAAAGTTTATTTGTATGTTTGTCTATTCACTTTTGGTGGCCAAAATGGTGCCTTGTAAGCAATATCATTTAATTAAGGGACTCCCAAAAATATATGCTCATGCAAAAAAAAAAAAAAAAAAAAAATTAATGGGATATGCAAATGAAGGATAGTATTATTGCATTGTTGTTTGTACTTGACTGAAGATGAAACAGTTTTTCTTGGGAAGCAAAATGGTATATTGTAGATATAGGTATTACATTTTAGCTCTTGGATCTGGTTGCCAAATTTGATGAAAGTCAGTATAAATTGTTAATACATAAATTATATTTTAACATGATGTCTAAATACATGATGTATTATTTTTTATTTTCTCTGTGTATTATCTATACAAATAAAATCATCTAAAGTAAAGCTCCTCTGGTAACAAAAATATCTTTAATTATATTCCACTAGAATTTGCATGTTGGTAAAAAGAGCAGGTCGGCATTCAAATTAGACATTGGAGATACTAAAAATAAAAAAAAATACAATGATTTAAATATCTAGGAAGTTTTTTTTAACAAAGGACATAGTGTGATATTGAAACCCAAAGGCACATTGAGATAATGAAAGATGTCTTCTAAAAGTTCAGCAAGGTATAAAGAAATAGACAAATTATATTAGAAACAGAGAGAAGAGTACTGAACTGTTATGTAATATCAGTCCTTCTATATGGCACTGAGGGGTCAATAGTCAGTATTTGAATAACAGAAATTATTAATGATTTTAGGGGTGAAGAAATATTTATTATATATTTCTTGTGTTTTTTTTTTTTTCTCAAGTTTTCTTCCATCTTTTCTTTCTTCACACATTTGTTTATCCTTCTTTCCCTCTCCGGCAAATCCTTTTTGCAAATCAGGAAGGATTTATATTCTAAATTGCAGTTTCCGTTGACTGGCCAATTTTTTTTTTTTATCTAAATGTAATGGAAACATAAATTGGTTATATATCTGAAACAAAGAGAAAAAAAAAAATTACCGTTTCCATCCCTCCAGAAAGAAATGTAATACTTAGCAATTTTTATTCATTTCAATTTTTACCTAATTTTCAATTGTTATGTTCTCCTTCAGTATTAGAGTGAGCAGTCCTGTGTATGTGTGTATATATATATATATATATATATATATATATATATATATATTGTCACAACCCCTACATCCTGTAATAATTTGATTATAGGCACATCATATCGAAATACTGCTTCCAATATGACCATGGGAGTTAAGCAACATTGAGCTTAATCACTATCTAGATAGGTTAAAAAGACTGCATGTGTTAAGAGTTCACCTCCAGAAATTTTTTCAGTGAGACACATTATTTATTATATCTTTTTTCTTATTGTTTTTCTCTTCATGTTTTCTTACTTCCAAATTTTCCTTCTGCATACTTTTTTTTTTATCAATCTAAAACATGGCCTTTTCCAAAATCCTTCCTGCTTTAAATTGTGTAGATTTCTCAGTCAGTTTCTTTCATTTTATATTCTCTCTCTTCTTTCCTGTTTTATCTTCTCTCTCTTCTTTCCTGTTTTATCTTCTCTCTCTTCTTTCCTGTTTTATCTTCTCTCTCTCCTTTCCTGTTTTATCTTCTCTCTCTCCTTTCCCATGTTTTATCTTCTCTCTCTCTTTTCCTCTTTTATCTTCTCTCTCTCCTTTCCTGTTTTATCTTCTCTCTCTCCTTTCCTGTTTTATCTTCTCTCTCTCCTTTCCTGTTTTATCTTCTCTCTCTTCTTTCCTGTTTTATCTTCTCTCTCTTCTTTCCTGTTTTATCTTCTCTCTCTTTTTCCTGTTTTATCTTCTCTCTCTTTCTTTCCTGTTTTATCTTCTCTCTCTTCTTTTTGTTTTATCTTCTCTCTCTCCTTTCCCATGTTTTATCTTCTCTCTCTTTTTCCTGTTTTATCTTCTCTCTCTTTTCCTGTTTTATCTTCTCTCTCTCCTTTCCTGTTTTATCTTCTCTCTCTCCTTTCCTGTTTTATCTTCTCTCTCTCCTTTCCTGTTTTATCTTCTCTCTTCTTTCCTGTTTTATCTTCTCTCTCTTCTTTCCTGTTTTATCTTCTCTCTCTCCTTTCCTGTTTTATCTTCTCTCTCTCCTTTCCCATTTTTATCTTCTCTCTCTCCTTTCCCATGTTTTATCTTCTCTCTCTTTTTTCCTGTTTTATCTTCTCTCTCTCTTTTCTGTTTTATCTTCTCTCTCTCCTTTCCTGTTTTATCTTCTCTCTCTTCTTTCCTGTTTTATCTTCTCTCTCTTCTTTCCTGTTTTATCTTCTCTCTCTTCTTTCCTGTTTTATCTTCTCTCTCTTCTTTCCTGTTTTATCTTCTCTCTCTTCTTTCCTGTTTTATCTTCTCTCTCCTTTCCTGTTTTATCTTCTCTCTCTTCTTTCCTGTTTTATCTTCTCTCTCCTTTCCTGTTTTATCTTCTCTCTCCTTTCCTGTTTTATCTTCTCTCTCCTTTCCTGTTTTATCTTCTCTCTCTCCTTTCCTGTTTTATCTTCTCTCTCTTCTTTCCTTTTTTATCTTCTCTCTCTCCTTTCCCATGTTTCAACTTCTCTCCCTCCTTTCCCATGTTTTATCTTCTCTCTCTTCTTTCCTGTTTTATCTTCTCTCTCTCCTTTCCTGTTTTATCTTCTCTCTCTTCTTTCCTGTTTTATCTTCTCTCTCTTCTTTCCTGTTTTATCTTCTCTCTCTTCTTTCCTGTTTTATCTTCTCTCTCTCCTTTCCTGTTTTATCTTCTCTCTCTTCTTTCCTGTTTTATCTTCTCTCTCTTCTTTCCTGTTTTATCTTCTCTCTCTCCTTTCCCATGTTTTATCTTCTCTCTCTCCTTTCCCATGTTTCAACTTCTCTCTCTCCTTTCCCATGTTTCAACTTCTCTCTCTCCTTTCCCATGTTTCAACTTCTCTCTCTCCTTTCCCATGTTTCAACTTCTCTCTCTCCTTTCCCATGTTTCAACTTCTCTCTCTCTTTTCCCGTGTTTCAACTTCTCTCTCTCATCTTTCCCGTGTTTCACCTGCACTCACATCTTTCCTTCTTTTTACCTACACTCTCATCTTTCCTTCTTTTTATCTACACTCTCATCTGATTTGCATTCTCTCTCTTCCTTACTCTGTTTTTACCTTCTCTCTCTTCCTTACTCTGTTTTTACCTTCTCTCTCTTCCTTACTCTGTTTTTACCTTCTCTCTCTTCCTTACTCTGTTTTTACCTTCTCTCTCTTCCTTACCCTGTTTTTACCTTCTCTCTCTTCCTTACCCTGTTTTTACCTTCTCTCTCTTCCTTACCCTGTTTTTACCTTCTCTTTCTGTGGCTTTATCTTTGCTCTCTTTGTTCCTCTCTGTTTCCTTCTCGCTCTTTGTTCCTCTCTTTTTCCTTCTCGCTCTTCTTTCATCTCTTAACTTCATCCACTTTCTTTTCTTTTGCCCTCTCTTTCCCTGTTTTACCATCTCTCTAAATCAGATCTGATATGTTTTGTTGGGCTAGAACTACCTTAGTCTCACTTTCCTGCCTTGACAGATTTCAAAATCACTTACAAGGCTTTGTGTGTGTGTAACTTATTTTCCACCCTACAGTCAATTTTCCATAAGTTCAATGGCATATGCCAGTTGTTACTTTCTTGCAAATGCTCAGATGAAGTTAATACTTTAGTTCCACCAAGTCAAACCTTTATAGATCTATCTGATTACATTGACTGAATCACCTGCATTCCCTATATATTCACTTTTTAAGAAGGATTCTCCACTCTGATATCTTCTTGCCAAGAACTGCTACTCTGTAGAACAGACTTCCATGTGGATGCTTCTCTGAACATGGCATGCTATAAGTCTAGGGTTGATTGTTATATGTCCACCATAACCTTGTAATCTTCACTTTCTGCTTCTTCCTTCCTCTTTTAATGTCAAACACCACAACCTTGAAAGGCTCTTTGGCCTTGTATTGAGGCAACTTTAGAAAAAACAAAAGAAATTAAATCAACTTGAAATGTAGTAAGTTGTCACCAATTTTTTTCAGCTTAGTTCAACCTTGACTTAGTTAAGTTAGCAGAGCTAAAAAGAACGGTTTTCTCTATTTATTTGTCATTAAACTGTTGTTTGTTGAATAAACTTGGAGAATCAAATGTGCCTAGTGTTTTGGGCAAGTTGGAAGCAAAGCTGCCCAAAGTCTACAAAGGAATAACATTTGATTCTTTTTGAAATTGAGATTGAAGCTGACAAATTGTGTTCTTTTCTGGAGTATTTTCAAATTCCTTGAGGCAGATGAAGGTTTTAGATGTATGCGTGCCTCTTGGGATTGTTCTCTGTTGCAGAGGCTTTGGGACAAATGCCAAAAATGAATTCTTTCTTGAATTTCTCCTTAATTTATGTCCAATGGCTACAATTTATTTCTTTATTTGTATATAAGTACTTCACTCATAATTTTTTATCTTTTTTTCACTTCTTTTATGACCTTTGTCTTTCTCTTTTGTTTCTTTTGTTGTATTGTCTCGCTCTTGTTGCCTTTTGTTTTACCTTCTCTCTCTTTTCTTTGCTTTTTTCCTCCTCTCTCTTCTTTGCTTTATTCCTCCTCTCTCTTCTTTGCTTTATTCCTCCTCTCTCTTCTTTGCTTTATTCCTCCTCTTTGCTTTATTCCTCCTCTCTCTTCTTTGCTTTATTCCTCCTCTCTCTTCTTTGCTTTATTCCTCCTCTCTCTTCTTTGCTTTATTCCTCCTCTCTCTTCTTTGCTTTATTCCTCCTCTCTCTTCTTTGCTTTATTCCTCCTCTCTCTTCTTTGCTTTATTCCTCCTCTCTTCTTTTGCTTTATTCCTCCTCTTTGCTTTATTCCTCCTCTCTCTTCTTTTGCTTTATTCCTCCTCTCTCTTCTTTGCTTTATTCCTCCTCTCTTTCTTTTTTATTCCTCCTCTCTCTTCTTTGCTTTTATTTCCTCCTCTCTCTTCTTTGCTTTATTCCTCCTCTCTCTTCTTTGCTTTATTCCTCCTCTCTCTTCTTTGCTTTATTTCTCCTCTCTCTTCTTTGCTTTATTCCTCCTCTCTCTTCTTTTTGCTTTATTCCTCCTCTCTCTTCTTTGCTTTATTCCTCCTCTCTCTTCTTTGCTTTATTCCTCCTCTCTCTTCTTTGCTTTATTCCATGCTTTTTTCCTTGTTTTTGCCTCCCTTTTTTTCTTTGCTTTTTTTCCTCCCTTTTTTTCCTCCTTTTTCTTTGCTTTGGATCTTTCTCTCTTGTATTCTTTCTCCTTTCATATATGCCTCTTCTCTTATTTTTTTTTTTTTTTTACTTTTTATTGTTTTATGCCCTAGCTTTCTTGCTATTTTCTTTCCTTCTTTTATATATTATCTTTCTTTTCCCACTTTCATTCCTTTCTTCCTTTTTAATATTTCATTTATTTATTCTTTGTTCTTTCTTTTTTCTTTCTATTGTTTTTCCTTCCTCACTTTGATTTTTTTCTTCACTTTAGCATTTTCATTTTCTTCATTCCCCTTTATTCTTTTCTTTTTTTTTACATTCCTCCTTTATTTACCTTTCTCTTTTATTTCCTTCCTTATCTCTTTGTATATCTTTATCCGATGTTCCTTTTTCTCCCTTCCTTTTCCTCCCTCTTTTTGGACTTTCTCTTTCATTTCCTTTATATTCCTGTTGTTTCTTCCTTTCCTCTCCATATGGTTTTTTGTTCCTCTTCCATTTTTTATTCATTTGTTTATTCTCTCCCTCCATCATTCATGTGGATCTGTTTGTGATATAATGGATAGTGGCTCAGAATGAAAAATCAGAGAGCTAAGTTCAAATTCCTGTCATGTTCATTACAATCACTTATGCCCAAATACCTTGACAAAAACATGAAGCTATCTTCACTTCCCAGTTATGGGTTAAATAGTAGGATTTGTATCGGAAAAAGTCATTGTTCTTTCCTAAAAAAAAGAAAAACAAAAGAGAAAATTGTTCATGTAATATTCATTTGAAAAAAAAATTTCTTAGAATCCAAGGTTTCAACTTAAAATAGCCCACAAAAGCATGATAAATGGAAAAAAAAAAGACAAATCAATACATCAACTTCTTATTTGTTTATTCCCCACCATCCTTCATTAATTCATTTTCTCCCTCCCTCCATCCTTCATTAATTCATTTGCTCCCTCCCTCCATCCTTCATTAGTTCATTTGCTCCCTCCCTCCATCCTTCATTAGTTCATTTGCTCCCTACCTCCATCCTTCATTAATTCATTTGCTCCCTCCTCCATCCTTCATTAATTCATTTGCTCCCTCCCTCCATCCTTCATTAATTCATTTGCTCCCTCCCTCCATCCTTCATTAATTCATTTGCTCCCTCCCTCCATCCTTCATTAATTCATTTGCTCCCTCCCTCCATCCTTCATTAGTTAATTTTCTCCCTCCCTCCATCCTTCATTAGTTAATTTTCTCCCTCCCTCCATCCTTCATTAGTTCATTTGCTCCCTCCCTCCATCCTTCATTAATTCATTTGCTCCCTCCCTCCATCCTTCATTAATTCATTTGCTCCCTCCCTCCATCCTTCATTAATTCATTTGCTCCCTCCCTCCATCCTTCATTAATTCATTTGCTCCCTCCCTCCATCCTTCATTAGTTAATTTTCTCCTCCCTCCATCCTTCATTAGTTCATTTGCTCCTCCTCCATCCTTCATTAGTTCATTTGCTCCTCCCCTCCATCCTTCATTAATTCATTTGCTCCCTCCTCCATCCTTCATTAATTCATTTGCTCCTCCCTCCATCCTTCATTAATTCATTTGCTCCTCCTCCATCCTTCATTAATTCATTTGCTCCCTCCCTCCATCCTTCATTAGTTCATTTGCTCCCTCCCTCCATCCTTCATTAGTTCATTTGCTCCCTCCCTCCATCCTTCATTAGTTCATTTGCTCCCTCCCTCCATCCTTCATTAATTCATTTGCTCCCTCCCTCCATCCTTCATTAATTCATTTGTTCCCTCCCTCCATCCTTCATTAATTCATTTGCTCCCTCCCTCCATCCTTCATTAATTCATTTGCTCCCTCCCTCCATCCTTCATTAATTCATTTGTTCCCTCCCTCCTTCATTAATTCATTTGTTCCCTCCTTCCCTCTCTCCCTCCTTCATTAATTTTTTGTTCCCTCCTGCCCTCCTTCGTAAATTTGTTTTTTCCCTTCACTCTCTCCTTCATTAATTCATTTGTCCCCTCCCTCCCTCCTTGATTCATTTGTTTCTTCCTTCCTCCCTCTCATTGCTCATTCCCTCCCTTCATTTTTGTCTCATTTTTCTCTTATTCTCTCTTGTTTTACTTCTATTTTTTCATTTTCTTATCTTCTTTGGTTCCTTCCCTTTCTCCTTTCTTTATACTTTCATTCATTCTTTTTCCTCCACTGCCATTGTCTTTGTGTTTGTATCAGTCAAAGACTTCTTCAACTGAAAATGAAGTAGTCCTCCTCTCTAATATTTTAATCTCTTTTTCTTTTCTGGCTTTTCCTCAATGCCATTCCCAAATTAAATGCTCTTTTATTTTGAATACAAAGAAACAAGATAAAAATGAAAGCCCAATAGGTTTCTTTGAGAAAAGAAACTCATTTTCAATTTATCTTTCTTTCTTGTAGGATGAATGCATAAACAAACACAACACCTGATTTACACTTGTGAGAAAACTCGCTTGTATGAGAACTCACAAATTGTTTTGATTGAAATTAAAAATTTAACCTTTACTTTCCTTGTTAGCATCAAACTTGTGTTTTAAGTTCTCATGAGGGAAATTTTGTATGGTTGTATGTGAAATGTTTTTTTTTTAGGGTGACAGACATGAAGGGATGCTGAAAATTTCTTGGTCCAAGACACTTCCCAAATTCTCACCAAGTGAACAAACATGAATTTTTTTGGTTGGTCTGAGAACTTTTTAGCACCCTTTTGTAAATAACCAGAAACAAAATAATTATGTGCATATATATATATATATATATATATATATATATATATATATTTTATTTATTCATAAATTATAACATAAAATTAACATGTTATAACATGTTTGTTATAATTTTTGAATAAACGATATTTGCTCTACTCTCTATGGAGCACTCTTTTAAGAATAGTGATTTTGGTTATTAGAATTTTATTTTGTCTACACCAATCCTATACGTGGAGATATATATATATATATATATATATATATATATCCAAAAAGAAATCTCTTGCTTGCATACAAGAAAAATGTTAAAAAAAAACTTGTCTGTGTGTGTGTCTCTCTCTCTCATATATATATATATATATATATATATATATATATATAGTGCATTGGATAAATTGTCGTCTAAATTACACAAAAATTGAAATAGCACTGACATCTCATTTTAACAGATATATTTACCAAAATTATACAAAAAAACTCGTTAAAGTATAAATTTATTCAATAAAATTGCTATTGTCTTCAACCATGGTTTCCAGATGACTTTGGAATCTCCTGCAACTCTTCTGGACAGTCTCCTTGTTTGAATTGTAGAATGCTGCCATAATCCTTGCCTTCAGTTCATTTTGGTGTTAAAAGCAGTTTTGTTGGTCTCTTGCTCAACTGCACCCCACACATAATAATCAATGGTGTTGCAATCTGGAGAGTAACTGGGCCAGGCATCCATGAGGCTCTTTATGTAGGCCTCCCTCTTGTGTTTGAGGCCTTCACCAACAAATTTGGAGTTCTTTTCTTAACAAAATGACCAGAGTGAGTTTTCTGAGCTGCAGTACCTTCATAATCATCATTAGACTCATCTTACTCTTTCCATATTCTCTGCATGGTCCTCAGATTTACATGCAAACACTCTAAACATATTGGAGCTTCTAGCATGAATGCCAAGCAGTACACTATGTTATTTTTCAAATTTCTGGTGGAGTGAATTGCATCCTTGTTAGTGAATTGTGTCCTTTTTCCCACAGATAGTGCCCAACTGATCCTTTTATACTGTGCAGTTGACAAAATCAAACAATGTCTCTGTATGTGTGTGTACATATATATATATATATATATATATATATATATATATATATATATATATGTAGGGGTGGGTCTGCTCAGTCACTGGCAGTCACACCAACAGTCTATTGTATATGAAGATTTCATTATGGCATGCTTTGGAAGCCTGACCTACCCTAGGATGTGCAAGTTTAGGTTGGGCCTGATAAGGCATATGAAAGAGCACATTGGAAGTGATGATGATCAAAGACACTTTCCACTACCTGGAGATGATGTGATATGCCACATATGTGACAAGAAATGCAGATTGATGGCTGGCTTTATGAACCACTATTGTTCACACAACCAATGAATGCAGTGTTGTGGGTGGGGAGTTTAAGTGAAGGGCTGAACATGTTGGTGTTGGTCATACTCGCTTTGCAAGTTGACAGCCACCATGTGTGTGTGTATATATATATATATATATATATATATATATATATATATATATATATATATTTATATATCAAATGTAAAGGAATGAAATGAATAAAATTCAAACGTTCATAACATTAATTTAAAAAGGGCCCAATACAAGTGTAAAAGCAATAAATATTTATTATACATTGTTACATTAAAACATGCAAGTAACTTGTATGTTTAAATGTAACAGTTTATAATATATATATATATATATATATATATATATATATATATATATATATATGGATAATGCACATAGAAGAAATGTTTGGTCAGATTTTTGGAAATTGAATTTTCAGCACCTCTACACACATCTGTGTACGTGGAAATGTATTTTTAATGTTTATATATTTTTTTAATGTCTCTGATATTTACAGAAAATAAACTTGTATAAATGCAGATTTCTTCCATAAATATAAGAATCAACTGAATCATAGTAATTATTTTTCAAATTCACATATGAATACAATAATCAAATTCATTGATTTCTTCTTCCAGGAAATTGTATCCTTAATTTTTACTCCCTAATTACTTATCTAGTGTCTTGGAAATATTTTCTGGATTCTGTGGTATCAACCAATGAATAATAAATTTTATCAATCAGTTTTTACTTACAGATTTTTGAATAAGTTTTCTCGCTTGCCAAAGGGTTAATATCTACTTTTCTTTAACTCTTTTCAGGCCTGTGACATCATCAGTGTTTGCTGGGGCAGAAAAAGTGGTTTCTGGAAGTGATGATCGGACAGTCAAGGTTTGGGATTTGAAAAATATGAGCTCTCCTATTGTGACCATTCGAACAGATTCGGCTGTCAATCGGTAAGAAATAAATAAGGATTTCTTTTTCTTTTTATAATTCAGATTTACCCAGTAGAAGGCTCAAGATCCACTCAATTACTATCTAAATGAGAAATGAGGTATATGATATGAATAAAAGAGAAGGTGGTATACATATGGGTTATTGATGGGCTTTTGAAGTATTTTATAAAATGTATTGGGGTGTTTTAACAGAGGATGGAAAGAACAACATTGAAAACTAAAGGTGCATTGAGATAGCAAAAGATTCCTAGCAAGGCTAATCTAGTTGATCATAACTACTGAGTTGGGAGTTTGATCCTCACCGAGTGCAGAATACAAAATTCGACATTAAATAACTCAGCAATAGTTGGCATGTCATAAAAATCAATTAACTAAAAAGATGTGACATGTCAGGTGCCTCAGAGTGGGTTATGAGCCAGGCTGGTTGACCGTTAATAATAAGAAATCAGCAGGCATGTTGAAATAGCGAAAGATGCCTTCCTAAAGCTAAGCAAAGTATTAACAAACAGGAAAATTTTGTTAGAAACAAAGAAAAGAATACTGAACTGTTATGTAATATCAGTGGTGGTGAATGCTGGACAATCTCAAAGATGAAGAAGACTTGAAGCAAAAGAAATGAGGTTCTACAGAAGGATGCTGAGAATACCATGGGCCAAACATGTGAGCAATGACAAAGTTTTAGAGAAAATGGAAACAAAAAGGACACTTATATGTAGTATCAGAGATTTGAAATTTCTAGGGCACATAATGAGGAAAAGGGCTTGGAAAATTTGATACTCACAGGACAACAGAGAGAAAGGAAAATGGTGCATAACCTACCTAACAAGCTTATGTATATGGTTGGTAGAACAGGGATTAGGAGGGATAGCAAAGAGAGAATTTTTAAGAAGAGCTACAAGGGACAGGAAATTGTAGAGTGTCATGATTGCCAACACCCTAAAGAGGCATGACAAATAGAAGAAGAATTGGTTCTTCTTCAGACTTGTTATATTACATTATATACAACTGAGAAAATGTTTCTTTATCTAGTAAGCTACATGTTTGTTGGTGACTCTTTCATAATATGTTAGCACTTT